CGGCGGGCGGCGGCGGCGGCGGCGGGGGGCTGCCCAAGCAGAGCCCCTTCCTCTACACCACGGCCTTCTGGCCCAAGAGCTCGGCGGCGGCGGCGGTGGCGGCGGCGGCGGCGGGGCCGCTGCAGCTGCAGCTGCCGTCGGCGCTGACGCTGCTGCCGCCGTCGTTCACCTCGCTGTGCCTGCCGGCTCAGAACTGGTGCGCCAAGTGCAACGCGTCCTTCCGCATGACCTCGGACCTGGTCTACCACATGCGCTCCCACCACAAGAAGGAGTACGCGCTGGAGCCCCTCGTCAAGCGCCGCCGCGAGGAGAAGCTCAAGTGCCCCATCTGCAACGAGTCCTTCCGCGAGCGCCACCACCTCTCCCGCCACATGACCTCCCACAACTAGCGGGGACACCCCCCGGCGCCGGGAACCCGCCCGGGACCCCCGCCTCTCCCACCCTTCCCCTTCGATGCACGCGTTTCCACAGTCCGGGGAGGGGCGGGAGGGCAGCGGGTGAGGAGGAGGAGGAGGAGGAGGTGAAAAAGAAGAAGAAGAAGAAGCAGAAAAATTAAGGTAAAATAAAAAAAATTAAAAAAAAAAAAAAGAGAGAGAGAGAGAGAGAGAGAAAAGAGAAGCACCGGGAAAAAGAAAACAAATCAAATGACTTAAAAAATACATTTTTTAAAATGTCATATATTGCAGCATATTGATGCATTTGTCATACGTTTCTACTTAAATTATTAAGCACTTATGGTTTAGATGTAATAATAATTCTATGTCAGGGTAAATTTTTATTTTGGATATGAAGCTAAGGGCGAGGGGAGCGCGGCGGGGCCGGCGGGCCGGGGTCCTGCATGCACCGGGCGCTACCCCCGTCCGGCCCCGCCGCCCGCGCCCCTTCCCCCGAGTGTCACTGGTGCCCGTGGAATGGAGTCTCGGTAGTTCCGTGTTACCTTCCCTTTCCCCTTTGGGTTTGGTTGGTTTTTTGTTTGATTTTTTTTTTTTTCCTCGCCCTTCTGGAAAAAAAAAAAAAAAGAAGAAAAAAAAGATTTATTAAACTTTATAGTTTATCCGGGTATGTTGGATGCTTTGACAATAAATGACTTTATTTTCTTCAAAGCACCTGGACGTTAATCGATGCGGGGGAGTGGGCGGTGACCGAGGGGGGCTCTCGGCTGCGCGGTGGCGGCGGTGTCCCCGGGCCGCGGGGAAGGCAGAAAAGCCCGGCCACGGCGCATGTTCTCGGTGCTCCCCTTCCCTGCTCGCCTGCCTTCCTTCGGCCCCTCCGACATCCGTCTGTCTGTGCATCTTTGCTTTTGTCCGGCGTTTTATTCAGCCTTTATTTCTCTCCTCCATCCTGTCTTTCCTCACCCCTTCGTCTTTTGGGTTGTCTTTAATTTCTTTCATTTTGCCTTTCTTTCTTTCTTTTTTTTTCCTTTCCTGTCTTTATTTCGTTTTTCTTTTTGCCCGTCTGTGGGTGGTCGCGGGCTTGCAGCGTGGCACAGCCACGGAGGCTGCCCGGAGGTTCTCTGGGGCGACAGGACCCAGCCCGCGGTGCCTCGGGAGCGCTTCAAGGGGCCAGGGCTGGGTCCCCTGTGTCCTGGTGCATTGCCAGGGTGGTGGCATCGCAGCCAGGGACTCCCGGCAGGACCAAGACAAGGGGTGCACAGCCTGGCAGCGGGTGCGTTCAGTGCCAGCCCCGCTTTGGGGGGCACGGGAGGGCACCGGGGGATGCACAGCCCGGGGATGTGCGGGAAACCCATTTCAACACGCTGCCTTCACCCTGGCACCGAGGCTGTGCCGGTGCACTGGCCGGGAAAATATCCCAAAGCCGGAGCTGTGCAGCAGGAGCCCACGGCAGAGCGTGACAGCCCCACGTAAACGGGGTCCAGGTGCCAGCGGCGCCGGCTGCCCTGGGGTTTGGGGTCTGCACGGGGTACCCGGACCTGCTGCAAAGCCTTTAAAGTCCTGGGAAGCGCCGGGGGCCTCACGCAGGACAGCCTAGCGAAGTCCCGGCCGCGGGCAGCCCAGCCTCCCGCTGATGTTGCCCGCTCTCCCAGCGCGCTGGCCCCGGCGCCGTGCCCATCCCCGCAAGCCACGCCAGGATCCGAAGCGGCGCCCCGCTCTCATTCCCTGCCTCTGGAATACGCACAGCCTCACCTGCTGCCGTTAACTGCGGGGGCGAGACACCGATTACCCGGTGGATCTTCCTTAGAAGCGGTGCCACCCCGCGCGTCCCGTTCCTGGGGGTTCCCGGGATGCCGAGGCGGGCTCGGGGATGCCGGGGGCGGCAGAGGCGGGTGGGCACCGCCACCTAGCGGGGCCGCCGCGGGGCCAGAGCGGCTCTGCCCGGGGCCCCGGCGGGCTCCTTCCCCGGCAGCGATGCTTCGCTTCCCCGGCAGCCCCGGGCCGGCTTCGGGGCCGGCTCCCGCCCGCAGCCGGGGAGATTCGCCGCGGCCGCGCTGGTTGTGCCGCCCCTGGCTCCCTGCGCTTGTCCGGGTGCTGCTGGAGGGATGGTGCTTCCCCCGCACGAAGGTGCACTCGGGAGCCACAGCTGCAGGTTTCACAGTCTCGTCCATCTGCCCCAAATATCGTATGGCTTTTCCCAGCCGTGTGCTGTGCCGCTGCCCTGGCAGCCCCAGCAGCGCCGTGAGTTCTGTGCGTTCCTTGTGGCTCTGTCAGAAGGCACTGCGCTGAGCCCCAGGATTTCTCCTTTTGGGGTTGGATCAGCCCCCCTAAAAACACTGTTAGACAATGCACCTGTGGTGCGGCGGGTGCTTGCTTTGTTACTGCCACACAAAGCTTGCACTGTTTCTGTCTAAAAGTACAAAAATCTACAGACTAGCAAATGTAATCCAGGACTTTGTTCTGCTGAAATAGGATATCGAACTCCAAAGTGATAAATCGAACTCCAAAGTGATAAATGAAACTCCAGCTAATGCTACCTGCACAAGCAGAACGTCCTGTAGTACCATGATCCTGTGGAGTTGGGTGTTTTGTGGAGAGGGTTCACAGAATTCCCCTTGGGCCATTTAGGATCAGGGCTTGGCCACAGCACGTCCCTCATTCCCCAGAGCCACGCTGGCTCTCCTCAGGTCAGGTCAGCACGGGTACCATTGCCACATATTGCCACATACTACTCCTTTGTCAACATTTCTGCTGCTTGGGAAAAAGGAAGAAAATCTCCCCTTTTATATATTTTTTTCCTTTTTTTTTTTCCTTTAAATGTCTTTCCCTGTCCGTGGTGGATGCTGTGCTGTGTCTCTGCACAGCACAGAAGCTGGCTGGGCTGTGGCACCAGCTGGCTTTCCTCCGTGCAGGGTCCTCACCCGACATCACAGCCCAGAAAATTCCCGCCTGGGCATTTCTCTGGGACAGAGTTGCCCCTGTAAGCCTCTGCCAGAGCCCACAGACGCATCTGCCTCTGAAACCCACCCACAAGGGGCATCTCTGCTGTGCTGCAGAGGAGCAGCAAGTAGGAGCTGGGAATGAGGACGAGCAGCCTTCAGATTTGGGGAGCCCCTTTGCTGTGCCCTGCAGCACTCAGACTGCTCCATCTTCCCTGTAGCTGGGCCACACTGCAAATCATAACAATGATAGTAATTCCAACAAATCCTGACTTTAATGCTGTTCCCGGGGAGCAGAAGGCAGCTTTGCACGCACAGAGGTTTCTGTTTGAAGGCGCAGCAGTCGGGCAGCCAGGGGCAGCAGACGCCCAGCCTGTGCACCTTTGGGCTGGAGCTGGGGGTAGCTGCCTGCCTCGGGGCCTGATCCCCTCCTGCCAAAGCCAGCAGGAGCTGTGCCTGTGTAGGTTTGGGAAGGGATTAGCACCGGGCAGCTGGACACAGGCACCTGAACTGTGGGCACGGGCTGTGCAGAAAGACACGTGGGTTCTTTCCCTTAGGTCTGGACAGAGCTGTGCAAGCGAGGCTTTCACAACCTCTGGGCCTGTGGAGGCCGTCCCAAAATCTGTGTGCTGGGTTTTGTGCTGATGTGAGGGTGCCGAGCAGCGTGCCGGACAGACGGACATCTGCTGCCACGGCTGCCAGGAGGCCGAGCTCCTCTTTGTGCAGTGCCTATCTCCAGTTCACCTCTAACTGTTACATTTGGAAAAGCAGCTACTAGGATTTCACTGCAATAGCCAGCTCTTGAAAACGTGTTGTTCAGCTGTGGATGTCTAGGAAAGGCTGAAGCAGTTCCCGTGTTTTGAAAGTCACATGAGCTGTACGGTATTTCTTCCCTGCTTTCCCTGCTGCTGAGGTCTGATTTGGCGTGGGGAAAGACCTGGCCCAGTACAGAACGTGTTGGTGGTGTGCTTAGAGCAAGTACAAACAAAAAGCAAAGAGCAGGGGGGATGTTTCTGTGAGATACACTGCAGGAATGCCTGGCGTGCTCTGAGCTTTATTTAAGGAGATAGTGCTTTTCACTTGTTAGAATTTTTCTTTCCTTATCCTGGCTTGTGGGGTAGCTTCTGAGTGATCTCGGTGACATCCGTGCCCATGGGGCACGTTAACCACTTGCACCTGTGCTTCCCCAGCACCTGAAGGTCATAATTAACTAAGAGGAGGGCAATCATCTTAATTAAATTCACCTGTGGTAACAGGTGTGGACAATCATCCTGATTAAATTAACCTGTTTTAAGGCACGTCCTCCTGCTGGACAGTTTGGTTCAGCAAAGCTCCTCAAGCAGCTGCAGCTCTCCCTGTTTCAGGCGTGGGGACACTTCCAGAGGGACATGCAGGGTGGCCTGGGGACCAGCCATCCCCATTTGACCGTGGTGAGTCTCCTTGGGGCACATCCTCCTTGCAAAGGTTTTGTTTCCAGGCTCTGCTGGCTGGGCTCATGTCTCCCCACGCTTTGCCTGGTGTATTTGTAAGTGGCAATTAGGTAGTGCCAGGCTGGCATCGGGAGGGGGGAGCGCTCCCGTGGTGCAGCTTGCAGGCCCGGTGCTCTGCAGCAGATCAAACAGGCTCAGAAGAGTCCTTCTCATCTTCAAATGGGGAATTTCACACTTGAAACACAGCTTATCCTCTCCATTTGCTGAGTTTTCTCTGTAACCGAGCCCTGAATAATTTAAATAACATAACATCAGCATTAGGCTTCTGAAGCTGCTGCTGTGTGTGCGAGGGCTGTGACTGCCAAAGGCAATCACACACAATTGCTCCAGGAACTTCGCTGTTACGTCTGCTTATTTATTTAGGTTTAAACCTCGTGTTTGCTCTGTTTTTATCTTGGTGTTCTTTGGGGCTTTTTTTGAGCCGTGCTGCAGGGGTATTTGAAATGGATGTGTTAGGCAGGGGAACAAAGAGGGGGCACCCAGAGCCACACGGGCCATGCCCACAGCACTGCTTGTGGGCTCTGGGAGGGTCCCAGCTGAAAAGAGGATGAAAACACGCTGCACACCACGGGGCCCTGTGTCAGGCACCTCTCCACGGGGAGGGGGGTTGGCTGATGCTCTGACGGGGTGAGGGAGTCCCCAGAGAAAGGGGAATGCTGTCCTGCAGTTGTCCTATTCCACAACAAGGAAAAGAGGAGTGCAGGCCATGAGTGAGCCCCAAGGGCTCTGCTGCCTCACTGGGACCCCAGAAAGGGTCAGGAGTGCTCGCTGCAGTGGGGTTCCTTCCAAAAACAGGTCTTGGAGAGCAGTCTGGGCAAGCCCACCTGGCTGGGGTTGCCTTCTTGGTGGCCCCCCCCCGCCTTGGAAGTTTGAGTTGTCAGGGAATTCTTCACTTGGCGGGGGTGGGGGGGAATAACAGGAGTGTGAGTGAGCAGAGGATGCCTGGCAGCCAGGTTGGCACCAGAAGTGCTGCTGGAAACTGTGAGGATGGACAGGAGGGTCAAAGCTGAGGGGGCTGGGCTTGCTGGTGACCCTCTGGGCACAGAAGCTTTTCTCACAGTGGATATCTCTGGCCCAGGCATGCAGGTGCCTCTTTTCTGCTCCTGGGCTGCTGCTGTGTCCGGTCACCCCCAGGATGGTAACTGTGAATGTTTTTGCTTTCACCTTTCACCCTCAGGGGCAGAAGTGTTTTCTGCTGCCCCAGATGGAGAACAGGGATTTTGCTGCCGTGATCCTGTACCAGCTGCAGCCTTTACACCGAGATGCCCAAGAGGAAAGCCTCCTGGAGCAAGGTGGCCGTGCCTCCCTCAGCTGTGCTGACACAGGAAGCCTGGCACAAACAGCACTCCAGAGGTGAGGAAGCCCTGCAGGTCCTCATCCTCCTCGTGGATCCGGATTGGGAATCAGCATGTGTGTGTAATTCAAGAGGAGGCGGGTAAGTGGAAGTCATGGCTTTTGCCAGGCAAACCACTACAGCTGGGAGAAGTAAACAAGGATTCGGTGCCCTGACCTTCCTGCAGGTATGTGCATCTATATATAGGGCTGTCTATGTATACATGTCTATATATAACACGTGTGCATATAGCTCCGTGGATACAGATCTGTGCTGAGAAATGGTCTGAAATGGCAGCAATGCTGTGAGATCATCTGCTCGCACCAGCCTGTGCCAGGTGTCACCCAGGCTGCCTACGGCTCCTCAAGTGCGTGTCCCCCTCGGTGCCCCCGACCTTCAGCTTCCTCGGGAGGCGAAGGTCACCCTCCGGCGTGCCACCGGCTCTGCCTCCTTCCTGCCGAACCCGATCCCTGGCCGCGTGGCCTGGATGAGCCCGCCAGCCGGGATCACCCCTGGGAAGGCCGGGGGGCAGTTCCTAGGTGGGCTTTAGGGGGCAGCCCCGGCTGCCAGGAGCGCTGCGGGCACCGAGGGGCGGAGTGGGGGCTGCGGGCAGGACAGGGCGCCTTTGGCCCGCCCTGGCTTTGCTAGAGGTGAGGTTTCCCCAGGGGCTTTGAGGACCTGGAGCCGCCCCAGGAGCTGAGGAAGGCATAATCCATGCGGAGTTGTGCCAGAGGGATGGATGGGCTGCTGCTGCGGGGTCTCCTGTGTGGCGGTGCTGTGCAGTCGCTGTCTTAGTGCATGGGGAGGAGCACGGCCGCTGGTGCTGGGGGCACCTGGGACGTGTGTGGTCACCCTGACGGTGGCCGTGTACCCTTGCCCGGGAACCGAGGAGGATGTTGTGGACCGACGAGGGCCACCCCGCTTCCCGCAGGCCGTGATGCCGTTGGGGGGCGGTGATGGGACCCCCGTTATCCCCAGGGGCCGAGCGGGCCCCGTGGGTGAGGGAGAGCAGCTCTGCGGCTCGGGGGCTGCCCCGAGCCCCCTGCCCGAGGCTGGGCTGGGCGCGCAGCTGCCGTGTCACCCCCGAACCCCAGGCGGGGGGCTGCAACCCGAGCCTGTCCCCAGGGTCCCGCAGCCCCGTGGCCTCGTCCCGGCGAGGAGGACAAGTTAATTCCCAGATAGATGCGCCCCGAGCCCCGCATCTGCCGCGGGGATGGGGGGGGTGGTGGGGGGCGTGGGGCCTGGCACAGGTGCGGGGCCGCCGCCCGGTTATAAATAGCGGGGAGGGGCGGCCCGGCTCCCCCCGTGCTCGGTCCCCCCCTCCAGGGCTCGGAGCGGAGCGGGATGCGGCGCCCTCCCTCCCTCCTCCCGCCCGCCGGCAGCATGAGCCCGTCCTTCCTCCTCCTCCTCCTCCTCCTCGCCCTGCCCGCCCGCGCCCGGCGAGAGCAGGTGCCCGGCGGGGCGCAGCGGGGCCGCAACGCCCCCGCGTCTTCCTCCTCCTCCTCTTCCTCCTCCCCGGCGGCGGCGGCGGGGCCGAGCCGCTTCCCGCGGAGCCGCCCGGATCGGCGGCGGGGCCGGCTGTACTGCCGGGTGGGCATCGGCTTCCACCTCCAGCTGCACCCCGACGGCCGCGTGGACGGCGCCCACGACGCGAGTCCGCTCAGTGAGTGGGGAGCGGGAGGTCTGGGGGGGCTGCCGGCGCCGAGCATCCCTGTCCTGATCCTGTGCTGTCTTCCCACGGCCGCGGGGCTGACACAGCCCCTGGCCGCTGTCGCCCTCGCCCGCGGCGGGCTGCAGCCCTGGCGGGCCGGGAAGGGGTGCAGGGGGCTGTGCCCTGCGGGCTCCGGGAGAGCTGCCGGCCTGCCGCCGGGAAGTGCTGCCCGGCCCGGGGAAGTGAGCCCCTGGGGATGTGCGAGAGCCTGAGGTGTGTGCCCTGCCACCGCAGCCCCTCGCCGGGCACCTGGGGCAGGAGATGCTGCCCCTTTCTGGTCCTTTCCCCGTGGGACTTTTCCATCCCTCTCGCTGCATTCTCATTCTCCCAGCACAGCGGTAGGATAATACTGGGTTTAAAAATAGGACTGAGGCTGACGTTCCCCTGAGAGAAAGCTGTGCTAACTCATGGCTTATCCTCCGGTCGGAGATGCCATGATATCCTGCTGGAGGGAATGAAATGGCAGGTGGGGATGAAAAATCCCCTCAGGAGCCCGAGGGCTCAGGCCCGAGGTGCCCCTGGCGGCTCAGCTGTCGGGAGCGCTCACGCTGCCACATCTGCCCAGGACCGAGGGATTTGGGGCCCAGGCCGTGCCGTGGCCCCAGGCAGGAGAGCAGCCCCTGGGTAGGAATGCCAGGAGCTCTGGAGCTCGATGGGCACAGCAGGCACGTGGCCTGGAGGGGTTCAGAGGATGCACAGGAAAAGGGGCCCCCACCCCACGGCTGCTTTGGGAGACAGGGGGCTTGGCAGGGCCGGCAGAAGTTTGGTGCTACAGCTGTCCTGCAGAGACCTGAATTATGTGCAGTTCCTTCCTCCCTGACCCGAGCTATCCCCCCCGGAAAGGCCACAGCACCACCAGCTCCACACGTGGGAGCAGAGCCAGCCCTGGCTGGGCACAGCGGGGCTGTGCCGGGCTGTGGCACTCAGGAGGCCCTTAGGAGGAAGAAGTTGGCTTTTGGCAGGGAAACCCTCTGGGGTTTTGGCCTCTGGGAAATAGGGCTTGACCCCGGGAACCCCAAGGAACGGGAGGAGTGTGTCTGCCACGGCAGCAGGGCCACCCCGCGAAGGGCAGGAGGCTTTGGGGTGCCCCTGGGGACAGAGAGGTGTTTGACAAGGGGGCTGCCGAGCCTCCTGGCCCGTGGCACGAGGGGTGTGGCAGCCCCTAACCCCCCCAAGGTGCCCCCAGGCCCTTGGTGCTGGGCCGTGGGTGCCTCAGGGGGATGCGCTCCCTCCTTAAAATAAACGTGGGAAGTGGTGATCCGATACCCAGCCTTGGGGGACTTAACGTGGCTCGGTGGTGGCTCCCGGCACGTTAATCCCACGGCCCTCTGGGGGCCGGCCGGGATGCTCTGCGGGCTCCTCCCGCTGGGACCGGGGCCACAGGGCCCCTGGGGCTGCGGCTGGGCAGCAGTGCCGGCTCCCCGGGCTGCAGGGGGGTGCTCTGGGGATGTGGTGCTGCTCCCCAGCTGGCAGGGCTTGGGGGATGCCCGGCCCTCTGCCCGGGGAGGAGAGGTGTGGGTGCTGCTGCTGAGGGATGCTCCGAGGCTGCAGCTCTTCTGCCGGATGAGTTGCAGGTCCTGCGTGCCCCATCAGGGGCCAGAATCCCCATCAGGCTCAGGAAAGTCGCGTTATTTCCATTGTGTGCGTGGGTGCTGCTGCTGCGGGATGCTCGGAGGCTGCAGCTCTTCTGCCGGATGAGTTGCAGGTCCTGCGTGCCCCATCAGGGGCCAGAATCCCCATCAGGCTCAGGAAAGTCGCGTTATTTCCATTGTGCTGGGCTGCACAGTGCCCCAGGCTGGGCTGTGAGGGAGCCTCAGAGGTGCTCCAGTCCCAGCTGGCTTGTGGGACGCTTGGGGGGCAGCTCTGATCCCAGCAGGCTGGTGTGGGTCATTTCCCCAGGGGTTAACTTGCTCCACCGCAGCCCAGCCAGGAATTGTGCCCCAAAATGGGACTTTAAAAAAAAAAAACCTGCACAAGTCCCAGCCACCAGCCCGTATCCATCCCAGAGTGGATGGAGGCCGCTCTGCGAGGCAGAGGGATGGAGCAGGAGCTGGGTGGAGCCAGGCAGCTGAGGAGCAGGGACGTGGGAGAGGAAATGCAAACCTGTCAGACTAAGCTGTATTTATTTTTTTCTCTGTCACGCCGATGTGAAAAGAACTGTGATTTATTCTGGGATTTCTGTCATCCTAGGTATTTTGGAAATATTTGCTGTGTCTCAGGGGATTGTAGGAATACGAGGAGTTTTCAGCAACAAATTTTTAGCGATGTCAAAAAAAGGAAAACTCCATGCAAGTGTAAGTAAACCCCCCACCCTTACCAGTGCGTGTGCTGTATGACAGGCTTGGTGGCACCTCCGCAGGGGCTGGCAGGCACGGAGGGGACAGGCGGAGCCGCAGCCCCCCGAGCCCACCTTCCTGCCCGGAGCCTTGGAGCGCCTGCAGCGGCGGCAGAGCCTGCTCTCCGAGCACGGCAGGGTTATTTTTAGCCGCCGCTGCTGCCGCAGATCGCGCAGAAGGCTTTGGCCAAATGTCTCCCGGCGCCGGCAGCCCCGCGGCCGGGCTGGCTCTGCCCCCCGGGACACGGAGCCCCGGCAGGTGAGGTCCGGGCTGCGCAGGTGGGGAGATCCCGGGAACTTTTCTCCGCGGGGCGCTGTCCTGGAGGCTCAGGTTGTTGTGCTTTTCCCAGCTCTCAGTGTCGAATGAATCCGTGAGCTGGTTTCGCTGCTTGTTTCAGCCCCAGGATGCTGCTTCCCTGTTTCTGCTCCAGAGGCCGTTTGAGCCAACGCAGTGCTCACACCTCTGAAAGGTGTGTGGGATGTGCCACTGCACCCAAGGGCATTTGTAAGGCAGCAGCTTGTCCCTGAAGGTGCTTCCCGGAGAGCCCGGCCAGGGATGAGAGCTGGGCAAAGGGAAAAGGCTGGTACCCACCCCGCAGCTCCCAGACAAACCTCCCGGTGCCAGGGCGGATGTCACGGCTGTGCTTGCAGATCTCTTCCAGGGGGATTTATGAACTCACCTCTCTCTCCTCTAAGTCTTTTTGGTGTCTTGCTCCTGCAGCCTAGTGATTAAGGGTGAGCCATGGCTTGCTTCTTTTAAGGAATCAAGTAGGAGCATGAATGGGATCTGGGGGAAAAGGGGAATGGTTCCGTGGAGGAAAAAACATGAGGTGAGAGCAGAGGGGCAGAGCAGGAGCAGAGGGCAAGGATGGAGAGGAGAGGGAAGCAGGCAGAGCGCGATGGCCGGACCCTCCAGAGCCTTCCCCTCTGGCGTACAATGGGCCTCTTATCTGAGCTGAAGCCTTGATTTATGCCCTGGCACAGGCAGAAATTAAATCAAGCCTCGTTGGTGCACGGTTAATTGTTGAGACACAAAGAGCAGGGCCAGAGAGGGACCTCAGTCAGGAGGGTCAGGGCAGGGGTGAGGACACACGGTGCCCCGCTCGGGTGAAAGCTGCAAATTTGTAGAAACTTGACCCAAATGTCTAAAGATTGCTGGGCTAAACAATGCCAATAATGCAAACCCAGCATCTGTTGTTCTTTGCTGCGCTGGCAGGATGGAGGTTATTTCATGGCCTAATGAGCTCCAAGCAGCACAAAGCACGTCCTGTGCCCGTCACTCAGGGCAGCGCTTTGATACGGGAGTCAGGCCGGGGGCTTCGGCTGAACCAGACTAAAGTCATTCCTGCAGGAATCTGGGCTCCTTCAAAACTCGCTCTCGGGCCCTGCTCCATCCCAGCTCGGGGTTTTACAGACTCCCTCCTCCTCCTTTTCTTTTCTTTTCTTTTTTTTTTTAATGCCAGCTTAATTAAATTACCGAGTGGTTCATTTTTAGAGGCACCAGCTTCAGAAGATGACAGATATCCCGGCAATTATCAGTTGCGTGCACAGATGGCTTTTTCCTCGTTGGTAAATCCTCGCTCTCCTGTTTGTCCATTTTTAGCACGGAGCGGGTGGGAGGGGTGTTGTGCCTGTCCAGCACGGACTCCGGGGGGACAGATTTGCCCAGGTAATTCTCCTTTCCCAGGAGCTTCCACAACGCCGCATTCCTCGCTGGGGCAAACCTCTGCTCAACTAGGTTTTGACATTTAATTGACTCCAGGACTGCTCTGGAGCTCTGCAGAGCGAGTCTGATGCCAGCCATCGTGCTGTGGCTGCCCCCCCGTCCTATTCCCTATAGGAAATTTTTTCCCATTTTTTCTCAGGGAAAGAATGGGTTTTTCCAGGCTGGAGCGGTGCAGTGATGAGCTGAGAGGCTGGGACCTGGGCAAGTCTGACAGGATGATGGTGAGGCAGCAGTTGGTGCGCTTCCCAGGGCAGGGCAGGCGCTTCCCAGGCTCGTGGGACATCCTGCCTGAGCACTGGGGCTTCAGGGAGCACAGAGGGCCAGCCAAGCCTTGCTGGGGAAGGTGAAGGCCTGTGCATGGGGCAGACAGCAGGGAGAAGGAAGGTGGGGAGAGCAGAAATGAGCCACAGAGGTGATGTCCCTTGGGATCAGCAAGCTAAAGAAGGCCTAGTTCCAAGTGCTGTGAGGCAGAATGTGTGTGGCAGGTTGTGGGCTCTGTCACTTGTGCTGTAAGGCTCAACCTCTTGGGTTAAATCTGGGCTTTTGAGTGCTTTCCTTGTGGTCACCGGTCACAAAGCCCTGCTGGATGTGTTCTGGGTGGCTGGTTTTGGAGCTGGAGAGCTTAGCATCTTCTCACATCAGTGGTGTGGAGGTGTTGCTGTGAAATGGAGCTGGGGGAGCTTTTGGGGCACCAGGTTCCGTGCCTGCCATCAGGTTAAAGCGTGGCGGGATCTTGGGGAGGGGCTGCCAGCAGATACAGACGGGGATCCCGGGGCTGTGGGCACGCAGGTGCCGTGCTGGGCTCTGCTCTTTGGCTTTGGAATGCCTTTATTCCCAGCAAAGCCCAAACCTGGCTGGCAAGCAGCTCCTGAGCTATCTGCCCCGGGGGTTTTCCAAGCACTCAGGTGCCTGGCACCCTCGGTGTTGGTGCCCCGTGTTTCCAGCCGCTCCGTAGGGCCGGCTTTGGGGGACAGCTGCCCCCCGGCCCTCTCCAGCGGTGTCCCCTGTGTGTCCCCCCCTCCGCAGGCTCGCTTCACGGTGGACTGCCACTTCCGAGAGCGCTTCCAGGAGAACAGCTACAACACCTACGCCTCGGCCGTGCACCGCAGCCCGCGCTCGGGCCGCCCGTGGTACGTGGCGCTCAACAAGCGCGGCAAGGCCAAGCGCGGCTGCAGCCCCCGCGCCCGGCCCCAGCACGTCTCCACGCACTTCTTGCCCCGCTTCTGGCAGCCGCAGCCCCCCGAGCTCGCCTTCACCGTCGCCCTCCCCGAGAAGAAGCCCCCGCCGCCCAAGGCCAAGGCGGCTCCGTCCCCGCCTCGCAGGAGCCCCGGCAAGTACCGGCTGAAGTTCCGCTTTGGCTAGCGCGGGATGGGGCAGCTGAGCCCACGGGGACCGTGTCTCCCTCGGCACGTGGACACCGGGAGCTCCCGGGCGGCTGGGCCGGCCTCGAGGTCTGCTCCTCACCAGACAGGTCCCAGAGGGAGCGGCTCGGGCTTGCCCAAGAGAATTGCCGCGGTGAGCTGAGAGCGCTGGACGGGCCTCGGGTTGGCGTTCTGTTGCTGGGAGAAGCAGGAAGGTACCTCTCCAGCCAACTTATTTTCCTACCTTATTTTCACTAGTGACTCCTTTGACAATCATCTTCACGCGAGAGAGATGTTCAGAGCCAAGCGGTTTTGTTTGTTTTTCTTGCATCTCCTTCTTGCTGCACTTTTTCCTCCGACCATACCTCAGGCACCGTGCATCCAGGTCTGTCCCCTTCCCTTCTCCTGGAAGCCAGCTCTTCCCTTCCACAGATTAAACCCGGAGACCGAGCCCTGCAAACTCTGTCGCCTTACCTGTGCTGCGGGGCGGTCCTTAACCCTTTGTTGGCAATAAGAGACGTGCGGGTCTATTCTGTGGGGGTCACAGGCCGGGGCGGGGTGGCTGTTTGCAGCCCGCTCCCGGCACTCTCTCCCGTTCTTCCCTGGACAGCTGGAGGAGCGAGTCTCCTCCTGTCCATCCGAGTACGGATTCGATGCCTGCTTTAAAATACCTCTGCCCCGGTGCCGGGGCATTCCCGCTCCCTGGAGGAGTCCCCCCGCAGGTATCCCCACAGGATAGAGATGCCTGTGGCCCCCAGGTGCCCACCGGTTTTGTCCAATGGTTTTTTGCTGCTGATTTATTTTACCGCTCTCAATACATTTGCAGAGGCAGGGAGCAAGGTTTTTGTTCCTCAGCGAGCGTGGCGATGTGGCAATAAACGCTGTTACAGCTGCTTGTCCCCTGGGGAGCGTTTCTCCCACGCTGGCAGCCCAGATGTGGAATTGTTTCTCGGTCGTGGTGTGATGTGGGGGGTAGCTGTGCACATGGAGCTGGCAGTGGGCATTGAGCAGTGCTGCTGTACGCACAGGCACTGGTAGCATTGAACCTCACCGGTGAAGCCTTAACAGGAGCTCAGGCTGGCAGAGCCCCTCAGGACCTGGGCCCTGCCAGCGTCCAGCAGCAATAATCAGCCTCCTCTCCGCATCTGATTGTGGTACAAATGGCTTGGGATCATGGGCTTCCTACACTGGGATCGTGGTTCTTTGCCTTTGCCATCCTCTGGCAGCCCCAGGCCGGACACGCGTGCTCCACGTGCGAGGATGGATGGGGACGCTGGAATAAAACTGCTGTGTTTAATTTTATAACCTGGCCGTGTCATCTCTTGCCTTCTCCGTGCCTCCTTCTCTTCCCCTGAAGGAAAAAGCCAGTGCTGCATGGCTGCTCCGTGTATTTCTGTCGGGGTGGGGCTGGCCGGGCGGTGTCGGTGGTGGGCTGGAGCAGAGCTGAAGGGATGGGTGAGCTCCCTTGGCTGTGCCCCGGGGTGTTGGGCTCCTCTGGGCGAGCAGGGGTGTCCTGCACTCCCCGTCGCTTCCAGCTGGGCTGTCTGACTGTGCCGGGACAGAATCCAAGTGCTTGGTGCTCAGTGCATCTCCATGAGCTGATGGAATCCGAGCCTTTGCGGGTGCTGCCCCAGCCCAGGCAGGTAAGGGAGGAGTGAATGTGCTGGTCTTGCTGGGCCTGCATCCCTTCAGAGGAAACAAGGTATTGGTTTAATCTTTTTTTTTTTACAGAAAAGTGGGGGGGGAAAAACCCCAAAAGCTGGTGTTTTGCTGTTGTGGTAATAACTGAAACTTAGTCGTGCTATTGAAGCAAAGAGGTCTGTGCCAGGGGGAGAGCAGGCTCAGGGAATCCAGCAGACACTCCCTGTTCTTGCTGGACACTCTTCTTTAGGGGAATTCACTGTGCTTGCTCAGCAGCAGGGGACTGAAGGCCTTGAATGTGGTCAATATTTCTGTTCAATTTGAACTTAAAACTATTTTTTTTTGGGAGTGTTTTTTCTGTTTCTCTCTCACTTTTCAACTACCTCAGAGGGACCACTGCAGTGCTGGGGAGAACAATCCAGAAACTCAAGAAGGTCAAGAGGATTCCCAAGTTCCTTTCCAGACAATTGCTGCCTTCAGAGGAGGTGCAAATCCACGTGGAGCTGGGAAGGGAGATGTGAGGAGTGCAGTGAGCTGGCACTGTCCCCCAGCTCCTTGGTTTGGAGACAGTCATTGACCTTCTGAGAGGAAAAAAGCATTCCCATCCTTTTTCACCCTGCAGTCACCCCTGCCAGGGGTGTATGTCTTGTTCCAGATGCCCCAGGAGGATTTGTGTGTGTCCTCACACAAACGGAGGCTTTGGCTTGAAAGGAGCATCCTTTAGCAGGAGAGCGAGAGGAAGAGGATTTCCTATGGAGCTGGCGAGTTTGGGCAGGTGAGAAAAGGACAATTAACAAATGTAAGAGCTGAAGGGCGCCTCGGGGGTCTCCGGGAGGGCCGGGGCAGGGCTGTGACCAGGGCAGGCTGTGCGCAGCCCCCAAACCCACCTCCAAGAGGAACCCCGGCGGGAGGAGCGGGGCATCCTCCGCTCCTGGGGCGGCTCCCCAAGGTAAGGGCTTCACCTGCGCCCTCCTTCCCAAGCTGCGGCCCCCAGGTGTGTGCTTGCCAAGGCGCCGGGCTCCGGGGAATGAAGAGCGGGCGTCTGTGCGGCTGTGGGCGCTGTCACCAGGTGCGCGGTGCTCTCCCCGGGATGTCTTGCCTTGTTGCGGTGCGTCCCCGCTCCTCCGTGCGCGACTCCGCTCCCCTTGGAAAAGCCTTGGAGCCCTGTGGCGATGCACTCCCCAAAAGTCTCTGCCAAGGGCAGCTCAGGCAGAGCTTATGCAATTTTGGGCTTTTTAATTTTTTTCCTTTTTTTTTTTTTTTTTTTTTGAGCTCTGCCTTCTCACACTTTCCGCAGCTGTGAAAACGGAGTCTGCCCCGGGAATTCTGGGCTTTGCAGCCACGTATTATCGTACCCTGCGCCTGGTTCCCTCTGATTTTTTTTGTTCTTGCCCTTTCTCCACTCCGGTTCCCTGGCGTGTACGTCTTCAAACACTTAACTTGTGTGCCTGCCTGGCCTCTTGAGGAAAATACATTAACTGCTGCCATAAATAGTAGTTTGGGGGGGACCTTGCTACGAGGAGCTAAAAAACATTTTTATAGCACTCGGGTTGTCAGCATAGCTGCTGAACGGTGGAGCCACTGAGTAGCTTCGTTGTCCTGTGTAATTTTCCCTTTTTTCTGCTGCTGTGGGATGATTATGGCATAATTTAATAGCATGTGTCAAACGTCTTTGGTAGCATTTGTGGGCCAGGAACTACGTGTGCTGCGTAGTTCAGCTATTGCCATGCCTCATGTGCTATCCTGTTTCAAGCTCCTTATTCAGGCAAAAACTGATTTTTTTAAAATGCATTTTAATTTTTTTTTTTTTTAATATTACGCAGGGTTGACTCTTCACAGAATCCTAGAATCCCAGAATGGTTTTCCTTGAGAAGGATGTTAAAAATCATCTCATTCCACACCCCTGCCATGAGCAGGGACAGCTTGCACTGGACTGGGTTGCTCCAAGTGCTGTCTAATCTCACCCTGAACGTACCCAAGGAAAACAATGGGAGTGTTTTAGTCCACAGCTGGGACACAGGACCACGGGTTGCTCACCCAGGAGAGGGGCTGCTGGGGTCCAGACAGAGAGGAGCCAGCTGGTAAGTGACATCCTGTGTCCTCTTTGGTGGACAAACTTGTGTTTAATGGTTTTAGGAGCACCTGAGAGTGAACAGCCTCGGTTACAAGGAGGCTCCCATAGCTAGACCTCATTCTCCTGAGGAATTGTGCTCACCTTTGGCCTTTGAACGAGGAGGGGTGACTGGCCAGGGCAGGGTGTTGTGGGTTCCAGCAGCACTCCCAGGGCTCCAGCTTTGGGGTGTAATGCAGAACCCAGCAATATTCCTGCTGGGCAAACGCGGAGGGAGAGGAACGGCAAGCGGCGAAGCTGGGCTGTGCTCCTGAAATCCCAGATGGAACCGATCCAAACTGCACCTGGGCTTGAGTTCCATCAGCCAGGGGAGGGAGGGAACCCTGGTGCCAGCCATCCTGGGGGCACTGGGCAGGTCTTACCATTTCTCTGCCATCACTGGCGTTGTGTGACCCTCCCTTGGCCAGAGAGGGCAGAAAATGGGGCAGGAGGGGGGAGCTCATCTTGTTTCTGCCAGCTCCAGGCTTGGGGCAGCTGCAGAACACTTAGGGTTCAAATAATCCTGCCCAAATACTTGGGTCAGCTTGGACCTCACTTGGGTGCTTTTGGATCCCTCTGTGCCACCCTTCCTCTGATCCTTTAGCTGCGAGGTGTGGGCTCAGAAACACCTGCCCCTCCTGGATGCACTTTGGCACATTTAAATTCAGATTCCTAGGAAAGAAATCAGCTCTAATGAAAAAGTGTTCTGCTTAGAAAGCAGATGTTGTGGCACACTTGTTAAAAGAATGTCTTGCACTTTGTTTCTTCTATTTTTTTTTTTTAACCCTGTTTTTAGGAGGACCCCTAAACTGGAAAATTAAAAGTGAGGGAGAAAATGGTGCTGTTCATTTCATTTTAAGTTGTGCACTGGGTGTTATGCCAAGTGATTCCACCAAAATATAATCTGAATAATTGACCTTCAGGCCTCTGCATGGCTGAAGGAAGGAGGGAGCCTCCCACAGCTCCAGCTGAGGATGATACTGGCTGCTTGAAACCCTTGGTCCAGAACTGGGAGAGCTGCAAGAACAGCTCTTCTTCTTCCTGTCCATCACTGGGCAGAATATTAAGGTGATGCTGCTCTAATTGCTTTATTTTGTTTTTTTTTTCCCCTGGCTTTTTAATGTGTTTCCAAGCCGTGCAGGGAGGGGCAGGTTGCTGGGTGGCACAGTTTATCCTGGCACAGAAATGGGCATTGTGTGTGTGTGTGTGCTTCCAGGCTAATCCAGGAGTGACATGGAAATCCTGAGATCATTCCCAGCCTTGGCTGCCCAGGCTTCTGAACAAGCCTGGCAGGTGTTTGTTTCATGGCTATGAGGTATCACAGGTGTCATTTGTATCACAGATGTCTGCCCATAGGTTTTGGTATCAAATTGTGAGGGTTTATGCCTGGGGACCCCTCGGGTCACTGGGCCTGCAAGTCATCCCTCAAGCACAGAAACCAAGCATTTTTTCATAATTCCAGGTGCTATAATTAGTAATTATATTACTAATAAAATGAAAAGTATCTTTTAAGGAGGCTTAGGTGTTTGGTTACCTTGTGCTGTAGAGAGGGGATTTGTTAGGCTGGCGGGAATGTTTTCTCACCTGGAGGTGTGTTACAATAATCAACATAAGACTTAATTTTCATTAATTTCATAAATTTCATTAATTAACTTAATTTTCATTCATTTAACCTAATTTTCATCACTTTTTACCTGTTGGTTTTTTTTTTTTCTTCATAGTTTGGGGAAAATATTTGGCTTAAATGACTCAAATGTTTTTAAGTGCTTGCTTTCTACAGGGGTGCTCTGTCATCCTCTTATGGATCCTCAGGCAAATGAAACTGGAATCTGGGAAAAGGCCTGTGGATTCCTGCAGTTCGTGGTCTGCTGGGTGAAGGTTCTTTGGGCAAAATAGCCATGGAGAAAGTGTGAACTCCAGCTAAGATCAGCTAAATACTAAGGAAAGAAAAATGGTTTCAAAAGAATTGGGGTGGTTCTTTTTCTTTTTGGCTGGCTGTGCCTGAGGCAGGGATGCTCCAATGACTGTGCCTGCTTCCAGCTCTCTCCACCAAAGGAACACACACACTCAAAGCACCAGATTTGGGCTGTTGTGCACGCAGGGAAAGCCCAAGCAGCTCAGGGCTGCAGTCTTGTGGGGAGCAGCTGTTGTAAGCTACAGGCAGATGACCACTAGGCATACCCAGAGGTTCCTATTCATAGCTCCCCTCCTTCCCAAATTGGGGTTTTTCTGCCCCAAAGCAGGCTGCCAGCCCGCTAGAGGGTTTTTTCCCCCTGTCCAAATTGCCATCCCACTGTGGAAAGTAGTTAAAAAAGATGCTTCTGAGAAACTGATGTCAAGTGTCTTTCATCGTTGCTGCCTGAGTACCAGGGCTGGGAACAAATGCATTTGCTTTGACTTGACAGCTGGGGTTTGTGTTCTTTTCCTCTGCTAATTTGTTCCTGCAGCCTCTTCCTTTTTCACCTGCTGTTCCCTGCAGTTTTGCTTTTTTTTGCCTCCCAGAAACCTGGTGCTTATTTCCACTGTGCTTTTCTAGCTCCTGGCTCTTGCTCTTCTGCAGCACTCGTGGGTCCCCCAGCCCTCTCCTTGTCCTTTCTTTTCCTTGGCTGCTGTGTTTTTGCCCTGGTGACGGGCTGTTTGCCTTGTGCCCAGGGATGGAAGCACCTGCCCTCTCCCAGGGCTCCTTTCTCAGCCTTCTTTCAGTGGCACAGGGCTGGGGAATTGCTCTCCAGAGGGCTTGTTCTGGTCTCAGAACTCTTCTTTTGTGTTTGGGAAGACCCAGGCCATCAAAGGAGGACAGTGGCAGGAGGCGTGGAGCTCAGGGTCTGTGTTATTAAAATCCCTCCTGATTTTATTTTCTTTATTTTATTTTTTTTACTTTAGTTTTTTACTTTATTTCTTTGTTTTATTTTTTACTTTATTTTCTGTTCAGGCCTTTCAGGCATGCCCAACTATCCCTAAATTGAAAGGCAGCGTGTAGCTCTCCCCTGAACTTTTCCATGCTCTCTGATGCTACATAATTTTTGTCTCTGCAGTGACACAAGGCTTGATCCCTAACTAAGAAAGAAGCAGGGCTGAAATTTCATTTTTAAATTGTTTTATTTTTTTATCCTGCCGCTGAGAGGAGGGGGAAGGCAGCAGGGCTGGCACTGGGTCACATCCAGGGAGCACGGGCACCACATTGGAGTACTTGACATTTTCTTAAAACTTGTGACCTGGGTTAGGCTGTGGGGCTTTTTTTTTGGTTTTTTTTTTAGAGAAAATCAGAGCAGTAGGTTTAGCCCACAAAAGATCAAAGCGGTTTTACCAGAAGCTGGACAGAGTTGTCTAATTTTTCCTCCTCCAAGCTTGAGTTTTTCCTGCCCTTCTCAATGTCTGCTGCGTTGGGTGTGCCAGGGAGGGCTGGGTTCCTCACAAATGGTTTGAGGAGTTGTGTTGTTGGACACAACTGCTTTGGTGATGGGTCACAGAGAGGGAGAAGAGACATCACTTTTTGTCATCTTGAGTTTTTCCATCCAGGCACACAGGAGTGGCTCCGTGCTGGCGCAGTTCTCTGACAAACAGCAATTTTTGAGAGGTTTGAGCCTTAAGAGCTGCTCCACTGTGTCTCAATTGACAAGATCTGGTCCTAAAGACCCAGGCAGATGAGGGGGAAAAAGAAACCTCTGTTTTTCATGGAAAACCCTCTGTTACTCCTCGTATATTCTGCTGCATTCCTCGTATATTCTATTCCTTTTAGCTCTGTTGTATCATTGTGCACGACGTGCTGTCTGCTATTTTTCTAGCGGAATGTATTTGAGGTTTAGATTAAGGATGAGGAGCTGGGTCTGTTCGCTGCAGAATCTTGTAGTAAGGCCTGGGCTGGTGGCCGCTCTCAGCAGGAGTTTTTTATTCCCATGGTGTCAGATCCAAGTGCTGCCCTCATCCAGGGCGGGAAACCTCCGGCACCGGACCGGCCGTGTGTGAGGCTGACCCCGGTCAGTGATCGGCCACAGCTGAGGGTTTGTGCCCCGCTCTGAGCCGGGACAGCCCAGGGTGACACACACGCTGCCTTTGGTACATGCCGAGCTTTTACGAGCCCCCCGAGCCTCCCCCGGGATGTGGCTGAGATGGAACACCAGCTCCAGGGGTGCCTCTGTGCCGTGCTGGGAGTGTTTGCTGGGAATGGGCCTCATCCCTGGAGTGTCCTTCTGTCCCTGGGCTGCAGACAGAGCTTGGGGCTGGTCAGGCTCAGAGCTGGGTGGCAGAAGTCCCTGAGGACTGGGGTGGGTTTGCACTGCAGGGAGTGAATGCCCCTTCCCAAATCAGCCCAACACAGCCCTTACAGAAATATTTTATTATTTACTTCCCTTTGTGGCAATTTAATCTCGAAATCGTTACGAGGATTTGGAGAAGAGTACAGGGCAGGGACAGCGCGCGGGAGGGCTGCGTTTGGGGAAGGGGGTGCTGGGAGCTGCGCCCTCCCGCGCTCCTGTAGCTGCCGCAGGGAGGAGCCCGCTGTGCCAAGGCCTGTTTCAGCGCATCCCCAGCCGTTCCCGAGCCCGTCCTGCCCTGGATGTGTCCCGGCTCCCGCTGTGTTCCCGCTCGGGCCGGGCCGGGCCGGGCGCTCGCCGCGCCTCACCGCTGCCGCCTGCCGGCCGCGCCGCGCCACTGCACACGGAGCGGCGCATGCGCACTGCCACGAGGGGAGCGCTGGGGACACCTGCCGGCTGAAATGCGGTACTGCAGCGCCACGGCGCGCATGCGCGTTGACATCAGACACGCCCACCATGTCACATGTTCAGTGAGGGCAAACTGGAGCATGCGCAGTGGCGAGCAGACGCCCCGCACCACGTGGTGTCTAAGGGCGGAACAGCCCCCCCATGAAGCGCATGCGCGGTGGCGTTCCCGCGCGCAGTGCTGCCGCCCTGTGGGGAGCGGCGGCGCTGCGGGCGCTGAGGGACGCGGAGCCCCGAGCCGCCCTGCCCGGCAGCGCCGCACGCCCGGGGGGACAGCGACGGCGGCCAGCGCCGGTGGGGCCCGCAGCCGCGCTGAGGGTGAGCGGGGACCGGGAGGAGCCGTGGGGAGCAGGCGGCGGCGCTGAGGGGAGCGGGGGTGGCGCTGTGAGGGCGCGGCGGGGGCTGCGGGCGGCGCCGCGGGGTTTGGTTTGTTAACGTGAAGGGGGAAAGCGGGGAGCGAGGTGGTATAAAATCATTGCGGGTGATCGGGCAGGCGAGCCAGGGCTCGGGGGAGGGAGGGAGTCGCGTTCCTGAGCTCCTCGAGTTCCTCTTCCCTCAGGAGCTGTCGTGAGGAGGTTCCCGTTTGGAGCTGGGCTCCAGAGAGAAGGAACCTGAGGTTGTCGCTCCTGGTAAAACTGTAAGTGTGTGAAGCTTGCCAGTGACTCGCGTGGATGCGTTAACTACTGAAAATGGTGATTTTTATTTTCTCTGTGCACGAACCAGTTGGCTTTCCCCGCAGGGTTCCCTGAATTGGGATCCAGAGCATCCTGAGGCTCCTGGTGCTTGAGGCTGCGATGTTTGGCAGGTAGAAAACGTCGCTGTCTGACCTGGGTTTGGATCTGCCTTCCCAGAGGGACTCAGGGTGGGAAAAGGCCAGCAGGGTGGTGGGAAGGGCTTTGTCCCACGCCTGGACAGCATCACGGAGGGGATGCTTTTGAAATGTCTCTTGTCTTGGCTTTCCCAGCTCGGCTGTTCGCTGAATGGGGCGTGGAGTGAGGAGGTCTCTGTTGGGATACTGGGAGACAGAGACACTCCTGGCTGGTGTGTCCTGGGAGGGCAGGGAGATCTGGCACTGGCAGTTCGGGTGTGGGGCTGTTCAGTCCATCCAGGGCTGCCAGTGTGGCTCGGGACACTGGCACTGGGTGCTTGGCTGCTGCTGGAAATGAGCAGCTGGGGCTGTGCTGGCTGTAGATTCGTGTCCTGCCTGGCCTCAGCTCTGTGCTGCAGGTGCACACTGGGCAGGTTCGGGGCCTGGAGTATCCCAGCTTCATCATCCTTTGTCACCGTTTGTGTCCTTGCAGAGGAGAGGAGTCTGTGCTTGGCTGCTGGCTCCCTGCAGAGCCCAGCCCTGATGTTCCTCAGCACTGGTTACTCTGCACGTGCGATGGAAAACGCACCTTTGGAGAAACTGCTGTTGTCTTGTAGGCCTGCACAAGTGCTGGGTCTCCAAGAGTGGTTTGGGGGGTTGACAGAGCAGAGCAGGACTGGACAAATCAGCTGCAGCAGGCTGAGGACCATCCCCTGTGATTTATGAAACACAGTGACCCAAACCTGTGGCAGTGATTCCGAGTAAGAGTTGGACTTTTCCTTCTCAGGATCACTGGGGAGCGTGGGACGAGAACTGAGCCATAACTTCCTGCAGGCCCCCCTAGCAGGGAGAGGAGCAGCAAACTCTGCTGGAAGAATACCCACGGGATGATGACCTACACTTTGGAAGCCAGTCTGGGAAGGAAACCACGTTATTTTGAAGGAAAACCTCAGGTGGAACACGTGGGGAAGGATTTATTGATGAGAGATGTCTTGACAGCGAGAAATAGGTTGGTGTTGGGTTTTTTTACATGAGCAGAGCATCTGGAAGCACTCCAGGAAGGCGATGGATAGTGAGGAGCTGAGGACATGCTGGGGATGGCTGCTGCCTCGTCTGCTGCTCCTGCACTCCCAGCTGGTTTGGCTCCTGTTAAAATTGCCACTTTCTGCAGAGCTGCATCAATATTCTCCTGCTCGGGGGAGGATTGCCCTGCGTTCTTGGCTTTTTGGGAATTTTCCTGGGAGCGTCGTGCTCTTGGTGTTGTGTTCAGCCGGAGCAGTGCCTCTGGTCCCTTTCTCCAGGAGAGGCTGGAGCTTGGATTCCTCTCTCTGAGGTGGCCCTGGTGCTAAAGGCAGTTCTTCCAAGGGCAAAGGCAGGAGTGCTCCGGGAGGCAGGAGTGGCTGTGACACTGAGCAGGTGCTCCCTGCTTCCTCTCCTTTGGCTCTCCTGCTGGAAATACAAGCGCCCTTCCCCTCCATCCCTTCCATAATCCCGGGGTCACTGTTTATCCTGCTGTGGCTGGCTGCTGGGCAGAGGAGGTGCTGCCTCAGGGGTGGTTGCACACAGCCATGAGCTTCAAGCAGAGGATTCCCCCAAAATGCCCTGCCAGGGGGAGGTGGGGTGTTCCTGGGGCTCCCACCTGACCCGCTGGAAGCTGGCAGACACGAGGGCCGTGTTCCCCAGCGTGCCAAAAACTCCCTCTGGCAGTGGGGCTGCCCCTCCAGCCTCCTGTGCTCCCCAAATCTCCCTGCCCGGGGCAGTGCAAGCAGTGCTCCCGCAGGTTTCCTCTCCAGCCCGTTGTCCTGATTCATGCCTTTTCCTGATTCTTGCTTTTCGGGAGCAGGGACTTTGCCCCTGCAATTCCGTGCTCGGCTGTCACAACTTTATGTCACCTCCTTTGTCTTTCCCCCTTCGTTCTTATTTTTGCCCTTTCCTCGCTGTCGCGCTCTCTCTACACCTTCAGGCTTCCAGCCGAGTGCTTTCCTGGCCTCTTAATGAAAATATTTTTGCCCTTTTCCTGCTGTCTCACTGCTCTCTACACCTTCAGGCTTCCAGCCGAGTGCTTTCCTGGCCTCTTAATGAAAATAAATTAATAAATGCAGGAACTAGAGACTTGGGAGGGATGGGGGGGCTTGTCTTGCCCTAAGGACCCAAAAACTCCTTTCTGAGCGTTCCATTGTCACTGTGATTTATTAGCAGTAGGTCCCAGGGCGAAATCCTATTTCTGGCTGCGGCTTTAGGCGCAAAGTGATTTTTAAAAATGATTTTTCCCTGTGGTGCGAGTAACCCGATGGAAGCGCGGAACTCCCGCCCCTCCGGCCGCCCGGGCCCCGCCCCTCCGGCCGCCCGGGCCCCACGTATTATGTTTGCTCAAGTTCGATTGGTGTACTGAAAACTGTGTGGTTTTGCGTACGTGGAGATGTGGAATGAGTCCTCGGAGCGCTCTGGATACACAGCAGAAAACGCGCGGTAGTAAAAGTTATTTTTTGGACAAACAGGTGTCGTGTTTTAGGTTTGCAGAAGAGCTGAGTCTCGAAGAGCCGCCTAAGGTTTGTCCAAGCAGGACAGGGTGAGACAGGGGGCTCCAGTAGGCTGAGAGCTCTCTCCCTATACTCCTAAACCCAAGAACCCAACAGTGAGCACTGTTGTGAAAAACCCGTGTAACACCGTGCTGAGTTGTACTTTTTTTTTTTTTCCCCCCCGAGGTCGCTGGGAAGCGTGGGACAAGACCTGGAGGATGACTTCTTGCAAGCCCCAGCAGGGAGAGGAGCAGCAAGCTGTGCCAGAAGAGTTTCTGTGAGTACCCGTGAGATGATAAATGTAACAGCTTCACAACTAATCTGGTTGCCTAATTGCGTTATTTTGAAGGAAAATCGCAGGTGGAACACGTGAGAAAGATTATTTCATGAGAAATTTCTTGACAGTGATAAATATGTTGATGTTAGGAGTTTTTCTGTATAATTTTTGCTTGAAATAGGAGTGTTATTCCTCTCTGTCTCTTCTGTTTTCCGGGGTAATTTTTATTCTGTTATGGCTGAGTAATGGGCAGGGGAAATGCTGCCCCAAGTGTGGCTCCACAGCAGATAAGAGCAAGGTTTTGCAGAGCTTCAGAGGGGTCACAGTTTCTGCTGCCTGGCAAGCGTCCTGGAAGCTGTTCTGCTAGGGATTTTCCAGGAGAAATGTGACATAAAAGGTTAAATCTGTGCCTGAGCTGAGAGAGGATGGGATTGTGCTGGGGTGCTTTAGCCTTGGAAAGGGAAGGGCTGCGTGGCTTATTCCACACATCGAGCATAACGTTAGAAAAAAGGTGCAATAGCCTTTGGCGTGGCTCGGCTCCCTCTCTGGTCCGTGTTTTCTGAGCTCCTCGGGAAGGAGCTGCAATTTCCTCCTTCTCCAGCCGGGGTCATTCCAGAGCCATTCCAGCCCGGGAAGGGCTCTCAGTGGATCATGCAAGAGATGGTTCTGTCTGTACCGATGTACCTTCTGTAGCCTAAAAAGGTCTTTTTCTAGAATCTGTAGTAGTTCAAAAGGCTTTTGGGGTAGTTTTTCCCGTTTATTTGTTGTTTGTTTTTTTTTTGCTGCTCCCGTGCATATCTGTGATCCGTGGCGTTCCCTGTCTGTGTGTCATTTTAGCTCTGTCCTGGAGAAGGTCCAAATCAGTTTGCTGGCTTACAGGAGACCCCAAAATGTTTCCCTAAAACACTTAAGGAGGAATTTCAGCTGGCGGGTCAGAAGTTCCTCTTGGCTGCCAACCATCACAGAGGCATTTTTGGTTTTCTCTGCTGTGTATCTGTGAGGCCACAGGGAGCAGGAGTTCCCTGTGGAGTTTGCCATCTGGCCCGTGCCCTCTGTGCCAGCAGCAGGGCACACCTGGAAGCCAGAAGAGCAGGGCAGGCAGACAGGTCCTGGCTTCTTTACCCAGGTGTGTGTTTAGCCTACGCAGCCCTAACCTCTGCTCTGGTATGCACTAAATATTGCTTGTTTGTCCAAGGTGATAAAGGGCCCTGAGCATGTGAGCCCTGCTGTTGGCTAAAGCCTTGGGAAGTTATGCAACAGTCAGGAACTCCTTCCTTGTGTCCCAGAGCAAGTGTCTCGGGCACTGTGCTAATCTTCTGGGAGGGGCTGGCTGTGACAGGCCAGAGAGGAGGGCCCCAGCCTCACTGATGTGTCTGAGGACCCTGGGAGCTTGGATGTGCAGGATTCCATGGCAATTGGAGCAAGTTTTGGTTGTGTTTCTGTGGCTAGCAGTGCAGCCATCAAAGGTGTTTAGGTGTTTCAAGTAATTAGGTGGAATCTCTTGGTGGCCATTAGGGAGCTTGTTAAGGTGAGGATTTGTCCTTTCTCTGCTGTTCCACTGACTGGGGTGTGGAGGGAGTGGGGAAAGGTTTCCACCAATAAAACCAAACCCCAACCAAAGGTTTCCACCAATAAAACCAAATCCCAGTGCTGGTGGGAAAATGAAATCCATGCCAAGAGAATGGACCTTGCTGGTTTTCCTCCTGCCCCTGGGTACTGGCTGGGGAAGGCAGTTGGGTGATCCTTTTGGGTTTCAAAGGGGTGTTCCTGAGGCTGGGCACGAGCACTGCCAACACTTGTTCCCCTGAAGCCTCCCACAGCAGCTGCTGCAGGTGGCTCAGAAAAGCTTTCCAGAGGACCTGTTTCAGGTGTGGAAAATTGCTGAGGATGGTGTTGGGTGTGACCAACAGTGTCCTTCTGGTGTGTTTTATTTCCCCTTTACTGTTTGCCAATATGCCCAAAGGGTTCCCAATGAGGAAAAAGAGGGTATTGTAGAAATATTTATTTCTTTTAAGTGGAGCCATCTTTGTCTGTTTTATGAATTGCTATGGAAATGGTGTGGGGTATGCAGGGAATCATAACTAATTCCAAGCACTTCTGCCCTTATGGTACAGATTATCTGTCAGGTCTGTGCCACTGGACAGTGTGGTGTGGAGCAGTCTGCCTTTCCTGCAGATGTCAGGTGGCAGTTTCACCTCTGGAAGGCTTAGTGTGCGTTTCTTCCCCGGGCAGTGGGTCTGGAAATGGTGCTCCTTGCTGGGGCTGCCCGTGCAGGTGGCAGGGGGAGCCTTTTGCCTCCAGACAGCGCAGGCATGGTGCTCTGCCTCTCACACACGTCCTGCTGCACCTCTGGCAGCAGCTGTGGTGGAGCACGAGAGCCCCTGGGGTGCTCCATCTGGGGGCCTCTGGACCCTGAAACGAGCTGGGGGAAGCTGGCTGTCCCTGTATAGTTCACTTACAGGATCACAAAGCAGAAAAGGGAAAAGTAGCAGGAAGAGGACAGGAAAGCAAGCAGAAAATGTTGTTTCAAACAGTAGGACAGGCAAAGGCAGGTCTGAAGTTCACTGTAGCTTTTGTGTTTATTAGCTTACAAAAGACCAATCAGTATAATTATTAGTACAATTATTGCTTCCCTCCCTCCCTGAGATCCATCTCCTTAAGTCTTCGTAGCACGGACAAGTCATTCCCATTCAATAGCACTGCATGGCCTGTGGGTGGTTTTAGATGCTTACAAATGGCATGATTTCCTGTGGTGCATGTTCCCCAGGACCAGGCTGCTGGCTGTGGCTCAGTGTCGGGAAGCATTTGGACAACACAACAGGAGAAATGCAGAGAAATGTTTTTTACTTCTTCATTCTTTGCTGTAAATCATCCACGTGGAGTACTGTGTCGGGAAGCATGTGGACAACACAAGAGGAGAAATGCAGAGTGTTTTTTACTTCTTCATTCTTTGCTGTAAATCATCCACGTGGAGTACAGGTTAGGAGAGCTGAGTATATTTCATGGAGCACATGATTTGTACCATTTCAGTGACACAGCAGCTGTAAATAACAGCCAGGTACTTGTGCTGTGGGGCAAAAGGAAAGCTACATGTCTTTCCTGTCCGGAGGAATTTTGATCAATTCTATTAACCTGGGAAATAGAAGCCAAGTCTAAAAATCATAGAGTGGAATAATGGAATAGGCAGGATAGGAGAGGATCTTTAAAAGTCATGAGTCCTACTCCCCTGCCATGAGCAGGGACACCTTTCTTACAATGTTCCTGATTTGTTCTTCCTTCCTGTCCATGATTACGGGAGAGAAATCCCAGTGTTTGCGGTGGGTGTTGTTCATTCCCTCTTCAAATTTGGTTTGCAAGAATGACTAATTGCATCTATTTGCAGCACTAAATGTGCTGCTGGACTTGGAGCTGAACTGTGTGCAGGTTTGGGCTGATAAAAGAGATTTTGGTGGCCATAAGGCATGTCTGGCTTTCCAAGAGAAGTCAGGGTGGGGGTTAGAGTTGGTTTTGGGGTAGCTCAGTGGAATTTAGCTCAGTTCCCAAGGACTTTGGAGTGTATGGAAGGTGGGGCCACATTTGGGGCATAAGAGAGCATAAAGCAAACCCCAGATAATTCAGACCTTGAAAGGCATTATTAGAAAGATGGGTTTTGAGAGTCCAGTAGATACCACATTACATCAGGGACTACAAATTGAGCTGGCCAAGAGAGCCTGGATATTTCAGGAAGTGATGATTTCCCTGGAGTGCAGCAGCCGCGGGCACCCCTGAGCAGAGGGCCCTTCCCTGAGGGACAGTCCTGTCACCTCACAGCACCAGGTGCACCTGCGAGCTCCCGTTGGTGAGGCACAGAACAAAGGGAATGCCTCGCCAGGTGCAGTTCACACCTGCGCTGGCAGCCGGGAATGTGCTCCAGGTTCACATGGGAGCCCTGGGAACGGGCAGGTCCAGAGCTGGGCTCCAGCCAGGAGCCTCTGGGAACTGCTCCAGTGGGGTCAGCTCCTGGCCTTGTCCCTCTGCCCCTGCCAGCCCGTGGGGCACAGGTGTCTGGAGGCATTCCAGACGCTGCTGTACCCCACTGGGAGCCTGGAATGGCACAGGGAGGGACAGGATCAAGCCCATGCTCGCCTTGTCCCTCTGCCCCTGCCAGCCTCCAGGTGTCTGGAGGCATTCCAGAGG